AAAAGGATGCTACACTCGGTAAAATTATTTTCAAAAATAAATGTGAGATAAATACGTTCTCTCATGAAGTAAATAAAGAGCTTTCGCAAGAAACTTAAACATCTTTCCACGGTGACTATTAAGCCCACAGTCAGCATCTTCGGTTCTCCCAAGATAATGAAATACAGATCAGAGGGAAGAAGGGGAGGCTTCCATTTCATCTGCGATCCATCTAGAGTACCCAGCACGCTTTTCATACAATATTCAAATAGTCTTAGTGAATTTTGCCCAAGGTCACAAGGACAAGAAACATACTTTATTATATATTCAGATTATATGTGCCACTAATCAAGATTTAGCAAACATTTGCTTTAAAATATACTTAAAAATAAATCTTTGCTCCAGATCTGTAAATTCTTATGTTATTTTTTAGTGGGGGGAAGCATTTATTTAGCGTGCCATTCCAGGCTCCAGCCCATCATGGTGACTGATCATATCATTACACACGGGAGCACAGAGAAGTGGGCTAGTGTATGCATACCTGCTATTCAACTCCATTACTATACAGTTCAAAACCAAACCCAGGAAATGGTGCAGTCCATTTCTGGCTGGGTCTTACCCCATAAACCTGCCCATACACCAACCTGATCCTGACAGTCCTTGCTGAGTCTCTCCTTACAGAAGAGTCTGGATTGCTAGTCCACCCGTCATCGACTTGAACTCAAACACACCACTGTAAGACAATCACCCAGTCTGTATCCTCAGCCTCACATTTATTTCATAATGTAAAGTGCAATAAAACCAAATTTTAAATAATTCAAACCCTTTAAAATGTCCAATTCTAATAACTTTCAATTATAAAATGCAAACCAAGGTATGTACTTCCAAACGTATAATAAATGGCACAGAATAAACATTTATTTACAGTACTGAGGATCAAGCCCAGAGACTCATGCAGGCTACTCAAGTGTTGAAGTGACCCTCAGCTGTATTCCCTCTTCACACTATTAACCTCTTAAAGAACTTTACATTACAAAGGAATGTAAAGGAAGAATTGCTTCTTGGAAAAGCAGAGAATAACATTAGTCAGAAAGGAACTTGCTGAATATAGAGTGTGGAGAGCTTGTCTCTTGCTGGAAATTCTGTCTACCATGTGATGATAAAATTTCAAACAGTGCTCAGCAGTATTTTCTATGTGGAATGTTATATGGCTATGAGACTTGTGTAATTTTAGCTTCTCCTTGTGTATTTTACGTTCTCTGTGTTTGTGTATATGTGCAGTCTAGCACAGAGCTCTATCCGTAACCTATCCTGTGTCTTCAGCTTCTCAGAGTCTACGAGATAGAGTCATTAAACCTACAGGAAGAGCAAAAGCCTGCAGTGCAGATCAGCACCCAGAGTGAGCAGAGTGTTGAGCATCCCTACGCTTAGAAGCTAATGACACGTAGCCCTACTCACTCCTAAAGGAGGGAAACCATCCCTCAGCGCTCACGGATGAGCCAGAGCAGAAGCCTACACATGATGAAAACTTTCTACATCCTAATCTTATGCAACAGACTCTTGAGCAAAATGAGAGTTTTCTGAGTCCCAGATTACCTACATCCACTAGCGGTCTGGGATATTAAATGAAAAATTCCAGAAATAAACAACTCAACAGTTTAAAATAAATAACTTTTAATAAAGTATATTGTTGCATTGTTCTAATTTATTGTTGCTTTGTGGTTAATCTCATAGAGTGTCTAAATTTATATATTAAAGCCTGTCACGGGTTATGTTAATATAAGATAGAGTCATATATAATTTGGTGACATTTCAGGCATCTGATGAAAATTGTGGGCTGGAAAAAAATCATCTGGGAATGGTCAGGCATAATGAACAGCAAAGAGGGTGAGGACAAGGTTTGACTGGGGAGCTGTTTTGTTTTATTGTTTTGTTTTTTTCTATTAGGACAATATTTGTATCACTATGCTCTTCTATTTATAGGAAAATCAGAAATATTAAAAACAAACCTTGTTTCCATCCAGTCAATTGATATCTAAATTTTATAAATTATTATTTAAAATAGACTTAATCTTTTATCATCCATTTGAGATATTACCATTCTTTTGAGACAGCAGGAATTATCACGTATCTAAAGTGACATTTTTATCTTCAATAAATTCTAATTCAGTTCATACATTAACCGGAGAAACACAGTTTTAGAGTGGTTAATCAAAATGGTTTATGGATTCCTCACTCCGTACCACTGCTGGCATGACACTGTAACAAAGGCAGTAGGGAAGGTTCTACCGACACAATGAGGCTGATCTCCTTCCTCCCTTTAAAGAAGATCTATGAAAAGGAGCAGCCTTGTTGGGCAATTCGTAATTCCCAAAGGTACCATCATTTTCAACACTTTGATTATTGTCCTGGTTTCGTCTCTCTTTAAGGATTTCTCTATAGGGATAGTTTGATAGTTTGACTCCAAATTGCTCAGAAGTGAGCAAGTCTTACAATGCATGAGTATGCTTTGGTTGCCAATCCTGTGGAACACCATTTGTGTCTAGCCCAGCATCCAGGCAATTTTAAACTGATGGATAAACCTGTGAGTGACGTCAACAGCCCTGGTATCTAACTAACCACGTGCCCTGCAGGGAAGGAGAGAGCACACCTTCCAACTATCATATGCCATCACCCAATGGTATTTTCTGTGTGAAACAAGATCACCTTTTATATATTCATCTAACATTTCTATGCAACGTTAATACAGAAGATTTATTTCCAATTTCCAGTGTGTTTGGGAGTTAAATTCTTGCAGCTAATATTCTATAATCTAGGCTTTATAAATTTCTGAATAATTCAGCATTCTGTGAAGTTAATGAACTTTCATTACTGTGTATTATTTTCTAACCCAATCTTCTGCCCAAATTTTCAGTCTCTTTAGCTCAGTGAACACACAAGCCATGAAGAGGGGTGTTGTCTAATGATGCCCCTCAGATCAAATTGTAGAGATTGATTACAGTAAATGGCTTCACTTACCAAAGTGTGCCTACATGACTCTGAACATTCTTACCCACAGGGCTTCTCTACACTGCCAGGAAGGCTATCTTACTATTTCTCCTTGCTTTGGGAAACATTTTACTCAGCTTTAACTCTTTTTCTCCTGGCAAAGCAAAGATGAGGACCAGTCATTCTCTGCCCGTCTGCAAACCAAATCCTTTAAGTAACTGCTCAGCCATGTGCAGTTAATCAGAAGAAATCATCACAGGAACTTGGTAAGGAAAAATAATTTCCCTCAAGCTGAAATTTTAAGCATAAACAAAATAAGGAATGTACTGATAGTTTTCCAAAAACCAGGTCAATTGTATACTTTCAGTATTAACTCTGAATATCTTTTGACTATTAATAACATTTAGGACTACAAATTAAACTTGAAAAGGGATAAGTCTTAAATAATTTAGTCACACCTCAAGGCAATTCTTTCTTGCATTTTCAAAAAGGATTTCAAGTTACAGTGATGAGATATTTATATTTGAAACAAGTTTTGAATGTCCCTGTTCAGAGCCAGAAGATTAGTTTTGACAAATAAGAGTTCTTAAATGAAGTCATTTCAGTGTTTGTGTCTAGAACTTTTCTTCAATTTAGTAATGTTATTATGATATCTGGGCTCAGCCATCCTTTAAACTTTAAATGCAGGTTTGGTTACATTCTGCTGCATTAATCACTCATCTGCGGTGTTTCTAACAAGTGAGGAAATAAGTCAGCAGAGAGTAAGAGAAGCTACGGCCTTGTGCAGAGGGAAGAGAAAAGAGAATGCAATTTGAGTAAATCTACAGATATTCAATTAAGTTAGTTAAAGGAGAAAATTGCAGCATAGCAGGACATGATCATTGGTTAGAAAAAGAATATCAAAAACAAAACACTGTTTTCCTTGCTTTTCAGCCTCATTTTCTAACATTTTATACAGCCCCAGTTAGCCAAAAACGTAAGGTTCTACCACAGACAAGGCTGTACCTCAAAGCTTCACGGAAACCATTCATTCTAAATAGCATGTGACATTTGCCAATATGTAGTTATAGTGGAAACCATCTACCTAGTCCTTCCGAGTGGGACCACAATCACCATGACAACGCTCTGCCATTGATTCTTCCACCATGCTGTGATTTTGGCAGGAACTGGAAAGAAACTTAAGTTCATAAAACCCTTTTCATACTTAAAATGAATTTCATTTGCATTTTTTTTTAGAATAAGTAACCTTTTCCTCAGTCACCGACAATGCAATCCTAAATGCTACTCTCAATGTAAAAGCTGAGACTGTTAAAAGACAAAATCCACATTTTTATATGATGGGAAATCGTGGTCAAACATTAACCGACTTAACTCTCAGCCTGCTTCTGATTTGACTCAAGCTTTGCAAGCTAAACAAATTTTCAGCCTCAATCACTTCTGTGCACAGTGAAAACAGAGTTGTAGCCAATGACAAAATTTGAAATTAGAGAATGATGAAAAGCAAGAAATGCTCTGTTTGATGAGTTGCAGGCTTGGGTTTTCCTGAGAGAAGACATTTGTGGAGTTACTGTAATGAGGGAGTCTGTCTCCTCTTCCAAAGTCTTCAGCTGCCTAATGAGATTTTTGGACAATTCACCATGAATAAGTTACAGGAAAAGTTTCTGGGTTTTATGAGCAATATATTTTCCTAATCATTCCATTTCACTAAATTTGGCTTTTTCTCAAATCCCTCATTTATTCTGGAATAGTCACCACTGGTGACCCCTGTGTTGCTGATGCCAGAATCATCCTTATTTGCAAATAAATTGTCTGTTGACTGTCACCTTCAGAGGAGCAAACTCCTTCAGATGGTTCCAGTTCCACATGGATTTGCCTTTGTGGCTTCCCGGTACTCAGTAAAAGTTAACTATGTTGGCCATTTAATGGCTCAAACCCAAAGAACCTGTGTTTTCATTAATAGCTAAAAAAAAAAAAATTAATCACAACCATAGCAGAAAATGAGTGAATGTTGTGTAATTTAACCTTACACCTTATTTAACTCAGCTTACAATATTCTTACAGCTTAATTTTACACTCTATAGCTTCAATATGCTTCCCAAATGGCCAAGAAGTTGCAAGCATATGGTGAGCTATAAACCCAAATTTGTCACTTTATTTTGGCATTAAAGGTGCAAAATGAAAGCTATGATGGAAATGAGCACTTGTGTGTTCGTGCTGAGTAGCCTTGGTAGAAATTTGGTTTTCAAAGCCCTGCTTCTGATCCCAGGCCACTTTCTCTACATCTACTTGAGAAAACGAGTTTGGTTTGTGCATACTGAAACGAAGTCTAGGCTCTGTCTTTATAGACTGCATCTTAGGTTATATATCACGTTCTTACAGTATCTGCTAGTCCTGTATCTAAGTAATAATCCAAGCCTTTGCAGAGTAGTTTAATTCCTTTGATGCGCAGAAGTGTGTCACTGGAGAACTTTTAAGCGGCAATCAGGAGCCACAAGCCTTTTGTGGCTGTCATGGCACACAGCAGTCTGAGTGCAGGGAAGGGATCTTGGACTGGATACCTCAAAGAAGCCATGAAGAGTGTAGTCGCAAGGGCTCCATGGGGCCTGGCACCCAGCAATTGGAAGGAAACCAAGAAGCATGAATTCAAATGTCTATGCATTGTTTTAAGTAGCGATTGAATCCATGGACTACGCAGATTATAACCTTTGAAGGGCGCTTCCAAGTTGACTGCTGGCCATCAGCCAAGAGGAGAGATAGCTTTCCCTGAGTATCAGAGTGAGTTCCATTTTGTTCTTTTTCCATGCTGTGGAAGATAAGAGTAACATGAGCAAATTCTAACCTCTCTCTCTCTCTCTCTCTCTCTCTCTCTCTCTCTCTCTCTCTCTCTCTGTGTGTGTGTACATGTGTTCCTTCATCCTTTCACTGAGTTAGGTTTCTTACAATAAATGTAAGTAGACAATGTAATTACTCATGGAGAAAACTGCAAAACGGGGTTGCTTAGCTGAAACCTAATACCCCATGTTTTCCGGGTCCCCCCTGAAGGCCCTTTTTTCATGTATGCCTCCATTGTCCCCTCCAGGTTGTTAATGATACAAGTCAATGGTGTGCGTCAATCCCCCCTCCTCATACAGGGCTGTGCTTCACCCCCTTCTTCTGCAGGCCTTTTCTTCCTTCTCCTGCCGCATGAACACTTGCCCTGAAATCCTATCACTTTGCTAGAGGATTGATGTAAGTCTCCAGCAATTAACATAATTACAAGCCTGATTATCTTCTAATTGCATTATGAGTATTTGGTTATTCACTACACAAATTAGGGAAAATTAAAGAGGAGCAAGATCCTGGGGTGTGGGCGTTGAGTTTTCTAGCACACTTATGAGAATTTGAATGCAAAGTCTTAACCCAGGTGAGGACTGTGCTTGATTCGATGGGCTAACCATGAGTACATTTGGGAGAAAGCCTTCCTTTTCCTTGCTACTGACACAAAATTCCCTCTGAATTATTTATAAATTCTCTGCAAAAAATGCCAATGAGCATAAGATAAGCTGCAGCATGTCCACGCTGGTCTACATTGATTTTTATATGAATTTGTGATCATAAAACATGAATGAATAAATAAATAAATAAATAAATGGAAATTACTAAACAAATAATAAGTAGAAGATACTCCAAGTCACACAGGGAACTTGGAAATAAGACCATCAGTAATATAGAAGAATAATTCTAACAAGAATGCCAAGATGGAATTCACCATTATAAAGGGCTCAAATGTGCAATCTTTTGATTGTGCTGTGATATCGGACCTGGATCAAATTTCTCTCTAAGTAGAGGGCAGAGCCATCCACACTGAACGGCTTGTGGACCAAATGACTCTGTTTTTCCTTCACTGTTCCACAGGACTGCATTCTCTCACTTGAAGCTTAGGCTACAGCAATCAGACTCTCAAAAACTCAGAAAAGAGTTGCATAGGTGATTTTGAATCACACAGAAATCTCAATTATTGATAATCAAGATAAATTCTGATAGGCTTGGAGACCCTGATGTAAAAGAGCTGATAACAGCACCAAAACAAAACAAAACCCCCAATGACATAGCCTGCTACTTATGCCAAGCAAAACAAAAGGACTCACATTTACAAACATTTTTCTCAGCTCCTCTTCTGACATTTGAAGTCTGTTGACATTTAAAAGAGAAACTTTATTAAATGATCAGGGAGAACAAAATGAAAAAATTTGACATAAAACAAGCAGCAGAAAAATAACCAAAAGATACACTCCTATGCTGACAGAACTCCCCGAGCTCTGTGGAGGGCTCTCTGCTCCTTGGCTTGCTGCCAACATGAAAAAAGAGCATGGTACCATATGATTTGAAGAAATGCAAGATTTTATTCATTTAGTAAAAATAGTGGTTGAGTTCCAGGCAACAGAACAGTACCAGTTTTTACACAACCTACAGTCTACTGAAGGTACAAATGTACATGTCCTCTCAGATCATAATGAAAAGAAACATGAGTTAGATTTCTACATTAAGAATGATTTATCCTAGCCCTGGGCTGAGGGCACAGGAGGCTTGAACAAAAGGACTGATTAAACTTAAGACTTCTCAGGTTGCCTGGGCAGCCCAGACTTTCACCAATTATGAAACATTATTTTTTTTTCCTGATGAAGAGACAACTGGATTGTGGAATTCCCGAAGGAATTAATTGACAAAGTTGGAGGAGGTATGTGTGGGAGGCTATTTAGTAAGAGATGCTTAAAGTATGGTCCCTTGAAGCTTGTTTAGGTTGGTGACAGTAAACATAGAGAGACACAGACAGATGCAAAAGCTATGGACCAAGCGGCATCCACAGGACTGAAGAGGAGGCGAGACACTAAGATGTGAAGTAGCAGAGTGTGGGAGGGTAGCTCCCGGACTGCTGGAGTCTAACCTGAGAAAAAGGAAACTGGAAACTCAGGGTTAAGCTTCCTGTTTGTTAATCTCATGAAGCATTCAGAAAAACCCACGCAGAAAAAGTCAGGAAGTTCTCAGGGTTGAGGGGGAATGCTTTGGATCACATGGAAATCTTAGTGATTATAAAAAGAAAAAAAATAGGACAGAGTTGCAGACCCTGAAGCAAAGAGAGGTTTAGGAGAATACACTGCACAGGGAGAGAAATGAAAGCAAGAACAAAGAGATCCAGTAAGGGGCAGCTCAGTGGGGAAAGATGAGCATGCAAAAGAGAATGGAGACCCATGTTAGAGAGAAGGGGCTTCTGAGACAGACTGGAAGGAAAGGAATAGCAAGGAGCAAGCAAGGTCTCAGTTCAGTAGAGCAGGTGAGAGAGACACAAGAGTGACTCAGGTCGTCTATGGAGATGGACAAAAATAAGATGGAGAATTGCAGAGAGGCTTACTGCAGAGAATGGTGCAGGCATGGGGGTGAAGAGGATGGGGAAGACCAGAGTAAATAAGAACTGAACTCTGTTGTTTGCTAAGTTCGTTGAAACAAGAAGAACAAGGGAAGGGATATGAATTCTCTTTATATTTTTGTGAAAAAGAGGCCAAGAAAATGGCTCAGTGGGTAAAGATGGTTGGTTCCAAGCTTGCTGGGCTGAGTTTGATTCCCAGGACTCAAGAGAAGAATTGCCTAATGATAGCTGTCTTCTGGCCTCCATACATATGTATAACATACACACGCATGTACATGGGCACACACATGCACATGCTCACACACACACACATGCACACACACATATATACATGCCCACACACATATATACATGCCCACACACATGCATATGCATGCCCCACTCATTATAAAATAGACACCTGTGACCAAACTTAATGCAAAGAACTTACTTGAGAACCTGTGAAAAGCTGCTCCAGGGAGGTGGCACACCTCCTCGACAGGAGGACTGATGTATTGACTTGTCTCACAATGACTTGACTCTGTTCCCTTATTGTTCCTTTCAGTACTATAAGTCCTACAAGCAGGAAACATATGGAGCAAGATAACAGAATAGAAAGAGGAAGGAAAGTACACAAGCCAGTAATTCACACCCAAGGGGAAATAATTAATAATAATTAAAATGAAATCTGACAACAGAGATGCAAGCTAAGCCAATGATAACTTATTCATAGCAGAAAATTTTAAGAAAGCAACGATATGCTTCTCCACTCCATTCCACATTAAAAATGTGTGTTTCCCATCCCATTTTAAGAGAGAATATGGATGTTCACATTAGAGAAATAAGTTATAAGTATAAAATATAAATTATAAAATATAGATAAGATCTCTCCTAATACCCAAAAGTACCAGTGGATAGCATCTTCTATAATGTGATCCCATCACTGGAATATTAAAATATAAAATTATGCACAACTTTAAGTCTGGAAAGTACATAAACTGGAACAAATAAAAAATCAAATGATGTCTTGGAGGCTGGAGAGAAGGCTCAGTGTTAAGAACATGTCCTGTGCTGCTTTGGGAGACGGCCTGAGTCCCATTCTCAGCATCCACAATAGGCAGCTCACAGCCACCTGGAACTCCAGCTCTATGGGATCTGAAATCCTCTTACAGAGTCCTTGAGCTTCTACATTTTCATGGGCACATACCCACCCATCCCTGTCCAGACACACATACATACATAATCCTGAAAATAAAATCACCCTTTAAAAATGAAATGACTTTTATCCAGTGGTTTAAAAATTGTAATTCATATAGTTGACCATCCAGACTGTGAGTTTTCACTTCCTTTTTTCTGGGCCTCACTCTCCCAATTATCTTTTGAAGCTAGAAGACTCATTCAGTAGAGGGGTTGCTACCCAACAGCTTTCTGAATTTGACCAATCTGGTTGCATTTAGACTGACAGACTGCTTGTTGGCAAAACTGAGAAAGGGTGTAAATGTGTTGTGGAATTCCCCTATGTACCCTATGAATATGTTTTACTATCATTGGTTAATAAGGAAATTATTTTGACCTATGGCAGGGCAGGATAGAGCTAGGTGGGAAATGTAAACTCAATGCAGAGAGAAAGAAGGCAGAGTCAGGCAGGCACCATGTAGCTGCTGAAGGAGAAAAATACCCAGAACCTTACAGGTATGTCACAGCCTCATGATGATATACATATTAATAGAAATGGGTTAATTTAAAATGTAAGAGCTAGCTAAAAGTATATCTGAGCCATCAGAGAAACAGTGTTGTAATTAATATAGTTTTGTATGATTATTTGGGTCTGCGCAGCCAAAAACTAAAAGTGGTCTCTGTTTACAAATGTCACACACCATCTGGGGCATGGATCCACATAAGACCAAAAAATAAAAAACCTTAAGAAAAAAAGGAGAACTTCTGGACCAACAAAAATGGGAGCCAGGTATAGCTTCTTGGTAATCATGGGTTTTTTTTTTTTGTTTTTTATTTTTAATTTTTCAGAAAAACTGCTGGCCACAAGCAGAGCCACAACTTCTTTGAGAAATGGCTTCCTGCTTCACGCTGTCTTGTTCAGGAGGTCTCACTACAAAGCATTTAAGTGGTGTTTATGAGCAGCAAGTTACAAGTTGCTTAGTGACACCATGAACCTGCTGTGTCCCTGGAACTGGGGCAGGAAGCATGGCTTACAGAGCTGGAGGTGACCGTACTTCCACCATGTTGTATGGCACGGAGCCAACACACAAAACCTCAGCGTTAGTCCTAGCCATGCTCACTTAACATTATAAAAAAAGCTCTGCTGATCAGAAAATGATTACAGATATACAGTAAGACAGATTCAGGCAAAAAAGACCTCTGAATGGGTCACAGTGTTAGATATTTATACATGGACTTATAAGAGAAAAGAAAGAGTAGAGAAAGTCACAGGTAAACGGAGTAAAAATAATAAAAATAAATATTAAAAAGTAATAGAGTAAAAATGAACCATGTAAAGATGGAGTATACACAGAGAATCTGGATTATGTATATTATTGTGTTTTCTTTGACATTTTTGGCTGTGAATGAGTTTACTACAGAAAGAAATTTTATTGTAAAGGCTGCTAATCTATACCAACATATATATTTTAAAGGTATCTTGACTTCAAAATTTGGGTCTAAGGATATGTTGCTTTGGAAAAGAGATTCTGCTTTTGTTTTCACAGAAGATGAGAACCTGTGGATTCATTCTAGGCTAATGTGGTTTGTTGGAACAAAATCCCCGAGAAGGTCTCTGTGAACCCTAAAAATACTTTGCCCAAAAAATAGCAGGAAGCAGTTAGGAGAAAACAATGACCAAATTCCCAAAATGATTTTTTATAGATGTTTCCACTTAAAGTGGATTGATTATAACTGGTTAATGGTCATAGTAAATCTCTTTCTATAAAAAGGGGGGTATGATATAAAGTTGAAGACAGATAGAATATTCCTTAGTTATAATAAATACAAAACTTTAGACTCACAAAGATAATATAGATGATAGAATGTTTTCTTTAATTTTTGCCCAATACAAATAGACTAAATATTGTAACTGTAATTTATGATACCTACTTTGTTATATGTAATTTTACCATGTTAAAGTTAAAACCTTGCTTTATATTTAGAAAGAAAAAAAGAGATGGTGTGGAATTCCCCTCTGTATGCTATGAATATGTTTTATTGCCATTGGTTAATGCAGAAGCCACTTTGACCTGTGGAAGGGCGGAATAGAGCTGGGTGGAGAAAACAAAACTGAATAGAGGGAGAAAGAAGGTGGTACAGATGCCATGTCGCTGCTGAAGGAAAAAGATGCCAGAACCTTACCCCAAAGCCATGGCCTCATGGTGATACATAGATTAATAGAAATGGGTTAATTTAATATGTAAGAAATGAATATTATACATACATATACATACCTAGAAATACACCTGAGCTATTGGTCAAACAATGTTGTAATCAATATAGTTTCTATGTGATTATTCGGGTTTGAATGACCAGAAAGCGAAAGCATTCTCTGTTTGCATATATGTGCAGTGAAGTCAGGTCATCATTGATGCCCACCCACGTCCAAGGGAGAAACAACAGCTCAGCCTCCTGTCTGAATAGATTCTTCAGACATGAGGTCCAGCTGTAGCAGGAGCCCTGCACCCAGTCCTTCCCTTCCCTTTTCTGAAGCATAGCTAGCTTGTGGTAACAGTGTGTTTTCAGGAAGGCACAGATACCCAAGACAATCTCTTTATGGAGAGGAAGACTTTTGTTATTTTGCTCTGTTTGGGCCGTTTCAGGTCAAGATGGGTGGGCTATGTTACTATGGATCCTTGACAAGGCAGTCAGTTTGGGAGTGGCACTCTTTAGGGTTAAGCTCATGGCCAGAAAACACTGTCCCATCAAAGTTCCTCCATCAATGTCCTACTCAGTTCCATTTCTTAAGGATCCCATCAACTCCCAGTGGTGCCCTCCAGGGACTGAGATTTTAATATCTTTCCCTTTGGGGAAGAATCCAAATATAAACTAAAGAGAAAGCTACTCCTCCCTTTGAGGCAGAGTTTTCTAAAGGACCATATTAATGAGACCAAGGACTTCTCTCTGAGGTCATTAAAACCAACCTTTCAGAGTTAAACTTTTTCAAGGTCTTTAACTGTGCGTGGTCATTTTAGCAAGCATGTCCACAGCTTCCCTCTTTCTGCTCCTAAAATAAAATAAAATACATCACCTAGGGCCTTAAGGTCCACTTACACGTTCTCAGTGTTATTTGGTAAGGGCTTAATTAATACTTTCTCCTAAATGTATTGGTATCATCTTTTACTTTGACTACCAACTTTAATAACCTGTTCTAAGTCTATAAATAATTTCCTGAACATCCCTTCTGTTCTACTTTACTCTTTAGTTGTGAATAATCTAAATGGTGCATTTTAATTTTAGTATGACGGGTGCGGGAGAAAGCTCAGTAAGTAAGAGCACATGCTGCACAGGCCTGAGAGAACCTGGGTTCCTGTCAGCCGCACCCATGTGGGTCATTGCATATTCCTGGAAGCTCAGTGCTCTGGGGAAGGAAAGCAGAAGAGTCACTAGGGCTTGCTGCCCGTCAGCTTAACTTCACTGAGACCCTGTCACACAGGAATAAGGCAGAGAGAGAGGGTGCCTGGGATGCTCTCCTCTGCCTTCACATAAGTGCATGAACACACAGAAAACACACACATGCTCACAAGACACACACACACACACACATACACATGCCACATTCACATACATACCTACACAACCAAAACTGAAATAAACTGATTTTAAGAAGATATTGGATAAAAGGCTTTTATATTCTAGTTTGTCTTTATTGTTGTACAAAATATGAAGTTAAAGTTATTAAAAATGTCATGAGCTTGGGGTCTTGAGTCTGTTCTTGCTCTCGAAGTTGTGGAAAATAAATTATATAGGCATATATAATTTATTCTATATAGGCATATATGTATATATATGTATATATATGCCTATATAATTTATTCCATTTATATATGTGTGTGTGTATAGTGCTTGTGCACACACACGTGTGTGTGTGTGTGTGTGAAATGCACAACAATTGGCAAGCTGCCTAATAAATGAAGCAAATAAAAAACTTAAAACTTTTGAAGCTCTGCATGTATCAGGACTCTTAGCACAGGCCTTGGAGAATCTGGACAGTATGTCATTTTTTATGAAACAGACAAACTGTTTAATTAATAGCTCACAAAGTCCCTTGCTTACATATAACTTTTAAACCACTTATTATAAAAAGAAACTTATAATTTCTGGGAAAATAAAAGTCACATATTTTTCCGTTGTAAGTAAAATGAGTATGTTCTGATACTAAGGATGTCAAGCAAAAATACTTCACTCATTACTTTTCCAAGGGAAGTGGTTTTATTTTACAATGCTTACAGGAAGGCAAGTCATAAGACCACATATAGCCTAACTTTCTGTATGTGGTACTGGGAATTGAACTCAGACCCTTGGGCATGAGGAACAAGTCATTTACCATTGAGCGACATTCCAGCCAAGACCAACATTTTCAACAATGTTTTGAAAGAGTTGTGTGGGCTTGATGAAAATTGAATGGAAAGTGAAGGAATCTCTCATCCTCACATGCTTGCTGCCTTTTTCATCGCTATGACAAAATTCTCAAGAAAACTGACTTTAAAAAAAGCTTTTGC